CCTGCAGACCTCTTTGGTTCTGGTAACACCAGTGACTGCTTCCCTCACTGGTACCTCCGTCTGAGCCCACCTCTTGGATTTATCCTAGGTAAAGAGGCATCCTTCAGTTCTTCTCTGAAACATGGGCAAGAAGAATTCACTCCTCCTTCCCCTCCCCACGCTGTGGTCCTTCTTCCCTTTTCCTTCTTCTACCTCCCCTTGAAATACTTTCCTGTTTAATCATGTTGGACTTTCTGTGGACTTTGGCAGGGCTTCCCCCCTGCTCCTTTTTCAACTTTTTCTCATGGGTAGTATACGTTTAATACAAGCACCTAATGTGCTTTTAAGTAAACCCTCTGTGACCTGCACACATAACACCCTTTTAATTTGTCTAACAGTAGCTCACCCATTTGCACGTAGTTTTAACTTCAAAGCTAGATACTATTATGGTAAATACTCTTTTTGTCTGTTTCTATTATGGTGGGACGTTGAATTTGAAGGCATTATCATTATCATTCAGTAACTACATCTCACACAATATTCCATTCATCATCTGGGATTAAAACCTTTTGGGGATTTTCCAACAAGTTTCTTCAAGTGGACACTTAGAGCCTCTAGAAGTTTAGTCACTGCATCACATGCTGCCATGACACTTTACCCCATTTGCAGAGTGGTAGCTAAAAAAAAGTGTCTCCTATTGCACTTTCTACATTGCAGGTTGTCGAATTTCCCCTAGCACATCACAGCCACCATCCTGGTCTGGTAGCTGGTGACAGTGTCTTGTATACTCTTCTTAATTGTGTGATGTAAATCACTGCTGGGGATTCTATGGTATTTTACTAGAGTCAAGTAAGTTAATGCACACTGTCACCCCAACTCCTCTGTAACAACTACATGTTCTGCACTCTCACACTGCAGTGTCCTTGGGGTTTTCTTCCTTTCCACCAGCTTTCTCAATTGCTATTTGACCAGTATCTTCATTTAAGACCAACAGCCCCAGCATAGCTCTGCGATTAACACCACACAGAACATATGCTTTTGATTTCGGTCTGTCTCATGTATTGTACTTAACTGGAACTGTAAAGCTTGGCTCCCAAACCCCAGGGCAGCTCAGCATCTTGCTGTAGTTACTCCAGCTCAGCCTCTCCGCTCTCAAGAGACGCACGCACTCCTGCTGCGCCTGTGGGAGAGGCAGGACGAGGCACACGCTGCTCCGCAGCAGAACTGGGAACTCCCACCACCTTCTGCTGGGTTTGGAGCTGCACCTCCTGTTTTCCTTTTCATAGGTCATCTTCATTTCTTTCCAAGTCAGCACAGATCCACAGTTTCATCACCGCTAGTATCCTGAGTACTGATATTAAGGGGTCGTTTTCCTGCACACTCTGCATCTCCTAGTTAACAAAGAACCTCTATGCAGGGCATCATGTAACCCCAACCCTCTCCTTCAGACTCCCCATTCGCTAAAAAAGTTAACTCAGCACTTGGAAAGACTGAAAAGGAAGACACTGAATGAACTCATTGAATGCACTCATTTGGCAGTCTGGCCAGCAATGTGTTTCTTCAGTAGTTCTTTGTTTAAACTTCTTCTGAGTTGCAGGTTTTGAACTAGAGATTTTCAGGAAGTTGTAGGAAACGTCCAAACCTGGCTCTTGCTGGAGCAGATTAATTCCTTCTGGAAATTCCACCTGTGCAATAGACGCCAGGAACTCGTGCCCGACCTCTTCCAGATGTGGGGAACGCTGCTCTGCTTCAAGTCTGGTCTAGTCCTCTGCGGTCACGAGGAGACAAGACTTAGCTTCTGTTACAGTAAGCCTGCACTTGTCAAGAGTTTGCACAGTCTCTGCCTCTGCTTACAACCACCAGTGTAACTCAATCTCAGTCTCACTATATTCATCAGGCTGACCTAGCTAAGAGATGAAGGGTCTTCAAACCTGTCATCTACCTCAAGCCAGTACATCCACTTCAAAAAGTTAAGCACACACATTTACAACAGTACTCTTGCTTTCCAGTAGTTTCTCAGAATATAAAAACGACCTACCGCACCAAGGAGGTAAGTAGTCATGGTGAGAAGCACAAGTACCGCATTCCCCCAGCAAGTGCAAGATAAAGGACAGGATTTCCAGTTTAGTTGCAGGACTTTAGGGGCACAGTAGGGATTCAGGGAAGATAAGACTAAAGGAAAGATTACCAGACCCTTCCAGTTTCTTGTCGTAAGCAAGGACCCTACTGCAGCATCCCTGCCCCCTCATCACTGACATGGGAAGAGGTCTGATGCAAGCTATTGCAATGTGCAGGATGAAGATGGCAGCAGGAGACCAGACCTTCTCCTCCGGCACTGGAAGCATTGCAGGAGAAGACTAAAAGGTTCACCAGACTACGGGCTAACATTGTCTCCAGATCACATTTTTTGGCAGCAAGTAGCACTAACAGAAGTGGCTCTTGGGCAATGCAAGCAGCCAATAACATGTGATTTAAGAGAAAAATGGCAAAAAAGCAGAATAAGGAGGATTGTGTGTGATAAGCCTAGTATGCGCTCTCACCCAGCAGCATCTGGAGAGGATTTTCTCCAGCAGGCAGGGAAGAACTCGATTACATCCAGTTAACTGTGCTCTAAACTGATTATGCATGTGCCAGGCTAATGGATTACATTAGCAAGAGGAAAAATAACATCCAATCAATCTCAATTTACTGCAGACCACACCAAGGCCTGAGAGAAGAGAAACCATTCTGTGAACTACCCCCACTCCCGCTGCATCTTTTCAGCTATCAAGAGACATGGCATTACAACCACTCTGAAGACTGGAAGAATTGCACTGAAGCTTGCTTGATCCATATACAGGTTTTCTCATGACGTCAAACACTGGTTCCAGCTATGCTGGAGTGAGACACTGTGAATCCAGGCGTCCACCGTCCCCTGCTACAGGCTTATACAGGCATACCAGAAAGCTAATATATGGACCATACAACAGACTTTATTACTCTGAAGTGTGTTACCCTCTGTCTGGTGTTTCACTGCTTTCGCATCAGAAGCAATACAGGGCTCTAACAGCTCTGAGAACTGCCCAGGCCTCTTACAAACCTGAAAATTGATGATTCCTCTTTGCCTGTCTGAGGAAAGCATTTCAGGAATCTTTATTACAAGCATCTACGGCTGTCCCCCAGTCTGACTTTGGTTTTTTTTTTTTTTTTCCTTTCTCTGCGCCGCCCCCCCCGGTGAGAGAATTCTAATGCCCCGATTGCTTCTTCCCCAGTAGAAACCACTGTAGATGAAGGGTTTAGAGAAAGAATTTTTAAACTTTTGCAAAGTATATTTAAGAGAACAATATTATATGTTAAAACACATAATAGAGCTCTCAAACAATTCTTTTGTACCACAAATTGAATTCCACAGACAGAGGAGATTCAATTCATCAGCTGGCTTTTTAAAGTCTCACTGGGAATCTCCTGCCCCCAGTTTCCAAGCTGATTTTACTCTCTCAGGTTTCCTGCGCATCTGAGAGCAGAGGCATATGTGTAGACCTGACCATTTTTAGAACCAGACTCTGCTGTGTTACGCTGGATCCCAGCTGATGATGGTAACAGCAATCGTCACAGCAGTCTTGGCCTCAATAGCGAGCTCAGCAGAAATGTATTCCTCCTCTGAGCAGTTCCCCATCAACTCCAGGCAGGTCCAACAACCATAGTTCAAGACAAAACTTCTATGATGCTCCTGGTTGCCTCTTTCCTCTCTGAATTTGCTGGAACTGCTCATTCATAGGGAAAATCCAGTTTTGAAACCTAATGTGTCTGCACCATGACATAGGTGGGCTACTGTACAGTTCAATGTCAAGTTTTAAATTCCCATTACATAAAGAAAAATATTCAAAGAGATAATTAAGAAGCACAGAATATAGTCTGCATGTATATATATTTATATATAAAAATTCTCACTGCACTTCAGGGAAAGCAGGAAGAAAAGGATGAGGACAGAAAGAATATAAAAAAAACTTGAGAGAAATGAGAAGACAATGAGTGGGACAGCATGTGTGAATGGAAGGTATGCGGCTGCTTAGATTTATGGCAATTCGTACCTGATTGTTCATACTAAAGCCATTATGGGATGATTAGAGAAAAAGGTGAAGCTTTAAGTCCAGTGAAAATCAATAGAAATGTCTGGAGCAATTCTGCTGCACGAGTGAAAGGACTATTTACTGTATCCGGAGCTCCTCTTGGGTTACAGCCCACAGGGTTCAGGCCAGCGAGGGGAGGGGGTTGTGAAGGAGAGAAGTAAGTCAGGAAAGAGAAGATGGTTATAAAGACAACACACAATGGGGGGTGTGCTGGTGGAAGAGTAAAGAAAACAAGATGGCAGTCATAGGCCAAATGCCGTAGATGAAAACCTGCAATGCCTCCAAATACAGTCTGTCCATATGCATGGTCAAGCACATGCACGCGTACACAGGCTTCTCTTCCAGCCTTCTCCCTTTTCCAGCCTCAAGCAACACTTTGCTTACAGATCCCAGCATTAAGTACACAGAGCATAAAAGCACAGAGACAGAGGCCCTCTTCCTCCATCCCTCCCCACTCCATCCACCCAGCCTTCTCAATGCCAGGTGAACACACTTCTCTGACAACAGCAAAAGCCTTCAAGTGCTCATGAAGAATCTCGTATGGGTTAACAAACTGCCTTATGGAAAAGAGCCAACAAAAGTGTGGCAAATACCATCTCACACAATGTTTTCAACAGTGACTATTGAACTTTTGTGCAAAAGTATCATTTAACACATAGGCAGTGCTATAAGACATGCAAGCCCCCATTAAAGCACCTTGACACGAACACCCATTGGCTTAAGGCTTTAACAACCACGGTTGCTATCAGAACACAGGTTGAAGAGCTGTACCACGCAAGTGAGACTGGGTCCCGCTGGAGAGATTTGAGCAGCTCGTCTCCAAAGGATCGCAATCCACTGTGGTTCAATATAGATTTTCCTTTGTTCCAGCACTTGGGCAATGAAGGAAGATGAAGCAAAGCCAACCCTTACCTTGTAGAGCTTCAGGCTGGCCTCATGCCTCGAGTTCACTGTGTGAAGACGCAGCTTCTCTAGACTGTTGGTGTAGTAGTCGCAAGCATTGCATTTCAGATGTACCGGATTCCCAATGGCCACACATTTCAGCCTCCACTCATTGGCCTTGCCACCCTCCTTGATATGTGCTACCAGCTGGTATTTCTGCACATGCTTGTCCGTCTTACAGTGGAGTTGGAAGTTTGCCTTGAGCTGTGTGTTGTAGCGGCACAACTTGCACTGGTATGAGTCCCCCATTACTGCCTTCCACTCATCTTCAGGGAGGCTACGGTCCACATTCATGTGGAGGCCTAGCATGTCCAAATTATCTGTAGTGAACTTGTTGCACACAGCACACTGGAAGAGCTTCAGCGATGGGTCATTTGTTTGTGTGAAACTCTCACCCAAGTTCATTAGCTCCTCAGACACCAGCTGTCCGCCACCTAACCGCATGTCCAGGGGGATCTCTCCACCCACTGCACGAAGGAAAAAGGGGAGAAAGAGGTCAGAAAATCTGAATTCTTTACTTGCCGGAAGAGAAGCACAGAGCAGAACATACACTGCTGTCAGTGCAACCCTTGCACCCAACCAAATGCACAGCAAAAACCAAGCACAGCTGTCCCTTTGCTTATTCCTCTGCGCTGCTGGTCAGCACCGTATCTGAAGAAAAAAGCAATCGCAGCCAGCATGTAAGGCTGGGAACGGACCGCAATAGCCCTTGGTACCCACCCTCTAAAGGAGAAGCATCCAACCCTCTGCCCGTGAAAGGTGTCAAGAAAAACCCTACAAAGTTTCAGAGGATGAAGAATTCCTTAGTACCGCACTGAAAGTCTCCGTGGCCATTTCAAGAACAGCATAACACTTTATCCTGTTTTTTCTTGCCTACCTGGAGAAGCAAGAAATGTTACCTCATGCAGTACCTGAGCACAGTCCCTGCCAAATAAAAAAAGGTCAACAGTCACAAGTCCAAATGATGGGAGTATTACAGTTAGGTCACCGCACTGCCATCAGAAGCGGGCAACGATGCGGAATGTAGCAAGTACAAAAAACAATCTGAAAAGTGCCACTCCTGCACTATTAGGTCTCATCTCTTGTCCAAGAGTTCAAAATGGTGGACAGTTTTCTAAAAACAGTGTTGACAGATGCTTTGTATGCCCAAGGAAAAGAGAACCACTATTAATAACGAGAGTGCAAGAGCATGTCAAGGAAAGCCAGCAGGACGCTTACTGTCTTTGTGTCACATCTACTCTTCAAGCCAAGAGCTGAATTCTATTCACTTACAGTAAATGAATGCAGCAAGCTCTTATTTACATCAGAGCACTTTGAAGATGTGGACAGACAGACTTTCTTTTTCTAACATTAACTTTTTATGCCAAAGCACAGAGACCAACCACCAGTCTCTTCTTAGGACCTTTGCTCCACCTTGCTCTCCTTTTCCATTTTTAAGACGTTTACGCTCCTCCTGCAGCTTTTTGTTATTTTACCTTGATCTTACGTCATAGCCCAGCTTAATCTTATTAAAGGAACCTTCAGGTCGTTACTCAGTCAATCAAAAAGAGAGATTTTATTTCCTTAACTTTTAGTTTCCTATGTTTCAACCTGTTTGCTGAGAAGCAGCCAACGCTGGGAAGACAAAGTTCAGGCAGAATCATACAAACTTTTCTGAAAGCTTGTAACCACAGTTGGTGCAGACCACAGCTTTGGGCAGTATACGTGCTAATATCTCTCCTGCAGAAATGCAATACCACAATGTTCACTACAGTCCTAAGCGGGATGAACTAAGCTTACAAGACAACCTGAATGCTGAGTCTGTCAGAGGAACAGCACTTCATTTTCATCAAGCATCTCGTACTCACACAGAGAGGAACTGGTTGGAGAGGGAAAAATCCCATCTGCATGCACTGCCAGGAACCTGTCTTTCCATCAAAGCAGCCAACGATCTTTTTTCTTGATCCACTCTATCCCTCCCTGCCACGGCAGAATGACACCCTCTGTACAGCTACTCCTGTGTACCTGCTCGCTAAATATTTGAAGAGCAGAGTACCCACCCCTTGCCTTCTATGGTCCGTATCTCCTAATCGTAGTGATTTTTCTAAGCATCCATTTTAGGATATATCCTGAAATCCTCTCTTTAAATCAGTCTCTCCTGAACACATCATGCAGTAAAAACCCAAAAGCAGACTCTTCTGAATTATTAATATTCTACTCAAATCCAGTTTTGGACTGAAGTGTAAAAATGGGAAAAATCTGCTTCACTTCTGGCAAAGTTCATAGTGTGTGTATATGAGTCTAACAAGCTGAGCTCGTGTCAAGTGCTTATTGACATGGGAAGGGCCTGCCTCCGTAGTCTTCAGCTTGAGATTTGCAACCACCAAGCGTACAATTCACAAATCACTCTCCAGGCGAGCTCATATACATTCAAGGCCTTGTCATGCACTTTAGGATGCTTCTGTTAAAATACTCCCAACTTCTCTCATGCCAACCGCCCTGTGCTTCAGTAAGTATGGGCTATGAGCTCCAAAAGGGTGCCTTCCAAGAAACCCACCACAGATGACACTGTAACTTTATACACTACAAGCTATATTACAAATGACTGTCAATTACATCTGTTGGCAACTTGGAGCTATTGAAAATACACTAAAAAAGATTGTGTCCTTGACCTCCCAAAGATGCAAGCTGGGACACCCTAGGGGGGGAAAAAAAAATAATATTAATTTATAGTTACTTGAGTTCCTTCATTTTCTTTTTCATTTTTTTAGTATCTTGTGTTGTTGTTCTCTCAAATGACTTTCATGTCCTTCTGGACTAATAATAAACTGTACTATGAATAGCTGAAGGAAAGGAGAACATGCATGAGACCAATGAACCAGTAGTGGAGTGCATCAGTAGTAACTAGCAATCGATGGATGGACAAGGTTAGGGAGGGCAGAGTGCAGCACGGAAAAATTAGTTCAGAGCAAAGCAGGTAAAGTGGCAGATTTCTTTTCACATACTGTCTCAAGGCACTGCAAACAATTCTCAGCAGAAGCAAAACAACATAGAGACAGCAGTAATTACAGTCAGTGTCTGCCACGCCTGAAGCGCCAGCTCTCACCCTACAGCGCTGCGAAGTTCAAACACACCGGGAAGCACGTGCACATTGCCAGCAGCTGCTGTTGGCCCTGGGCGACATTAAGCACCACGGGGGAGGAACCTAACGGGACCTGACCCTCTATCCCCACTCTAATTCTTGGACTAAATTGTGTGGGGATAGGGTGTGCCCCCCGCAGTGCCAACACGAACATGATGTTGAACAATGGTCGTTGTCAGGAAAAATGCATTTGATAGTTCATTTTTAAGTGTTTCTGTCATCTGATGAGAGAAATAATCTCTCTCTCTAGCCATTCCCCTCCAGTTTAGTAATTCTCATCTGGTCAAGCCTCAAATCTTGTATCTCATGCTGGCATCAGAGGAATGGTTTCAGCTCAGTTTCTGCAGCAGAGGAACATCACCCCTTCCACTGAATTCATCACAACTCTCAAAACTTGCTTACCTTTTCTTCTCAGGGCAACACAGCACGTAACAAACCAACTCAACATCTGCCTTTGAGAGCACCAGCAGCTGATCAGACCTTCTCACAAAGCCACCCGCCAAACTACTTGCACCCCTTACCAAACCAAGGAAAAATCACTAGGAAACACTGTAGTAAGGATGCTTTCCACAATGAGAAGGAACATTTAATGCATGTCAGCAATAATCCGTATCTGTTTTATTAGCTCCCTACTAAAACTCTTAGAAAAGGTACTAGAAAAGTAACGTATTTTCCCACGATGAGAAAAACTGATCTGGGGGAATGCAGAAGAGAGGTCTCCACTGTGTAGTCTCCATCCTTGACCATCACACAAAGGCAACTCACCGCATTGTGGCTGCACTATACAGCGGGTCGCAGAGACGGAAGGGATTTGGCACGTAGCGCCCAGTTCGTGCACGAGGGTTTTGCGGTAACGCAAACACAATCCCTCCCTTACACATGGACACGGTGGAAAACCCTTCAGCCTCACCTAGAGATGGAGCCATCGTTGCCATGGGATTGGTGGGATCAAGCTGGAATCCACCCATCATGAACTGTGCATCTGAGGAAGTGCTGTCCATCTTCAAGTTGGGAAGGTTCATGTTCTGTGCCAGGTAGTACTGGTAGAGCTCAGCCTCAGCGGGGGACGGGAGGCTGCCGAGGCCCAGGTGCCGGTTGTGTTGGATTTGGGACATATTTTGCTGAAGCAGCATCATATTGTGCATGTGCTTCTCACTGGTCATGTGAATACGAAGGTTTCTAGCTACGTTGGTCTCATAGTCGCACACCTCGCACCGCCACGTAGGTTTGGTTTTTGGTTTGGTGGGGGAGGGGGCCCCACAGGTGCTACCAATGTTGGCTGCTTCCCCCCGGGGGCGCGCCCCCAGCCGCTGCCGCCGCCCCAGCGGTGTGACTGAAGACTTGCTCTCCCCCTCCGTTCTGCAGGTTTTGCATGTTGTTGAGATGCTTGTCGGACTGCATATGAATACTGAGGTTGCCTTTGGTAGTAGTGGAGTAGTTACAGACCTCGCAGCGGAACGGCTTGTAACCACAGGTGTAGCTCTCACCCCGTGCCAGCCGTGGGTGTGGCTGTCCACTTTTGCAGTAGACACAGGAGCCACCTGGCTCGGGATGTTTCTCCTTCATGTGTGCCTCAAGTGTCTGCTGGTACTTGTAGTGCCAATTGCACTTGGGACACTTGAGTGTCTTACATGAGTTGCGAGAATGCATCATAGTCATGTGGCCACCCAGCGACCGCGAGGAGCCCAGGACCGTGTCGCACTTTGGGCACTCCACGCCGCTCCCCGAGGGGCACTCCCCACCCCCAAGTTCACAGAGGGGGCCAGCATGCTGGTGATGGTAGACGTAGCTCCCGTCCTCGCCCTCCGTGCTCTCATTTGGTTCTGGTGCTGTGGCATTGTCTTTATTGGCACTTTCATCGATAAAGTCCAGCCTCCTGCTGCCCTCTGCCACGCTGGCTCCGCTGCCCTCATTGTTAAAGCTTAAGTGATTCCTCCTGTTTGCACCATCAAAGACAAAGGAAGAAGCAGAATTAGAACTAGTAGAAGCTGTGCCCCGCGACAGGGTCTGGAGCACGTTAGGCATTAAGGGAGAGTTAGAAATGCTTTGGTTTGAGAGAGCAAGGTCCTTTTTGCTGCTGCTGCTGCCGCCGCCTGCCACAGCCCCAGCATCCTCCTGGGGCCGGTCCTCCAGTTCGTCCTCCAACTCGCTCGGAAACAGTCCTTTGCAACCCTCATCATCCTCGTCTTCTTCCTCTTCCTCCTCCTCCTCTTCCTCCTCCTCCTCCTCCACATCCTCCTCCTCTTCCTCCTCCACCTCCTCGACCGGCTCTGCCTTTTCTGAAAGGCTGTCCTGGTCACCCCCCTCTTGCTTCTCCCCCTCTGCCACCCCAGGGTCCTTCCCCTCTGAGGATTTGGTGGGATTGGAAGCCAGCGGGCCCAGGGGGACTGAGGTAATGGGAGTCTTCAGAGCCGAGCTGGTCAG